ATTGAGAAAGACAGTTTACAGACTAATGGACGATAACGAAAAGGATTTAACGATTTTGCAATACCGTAAAGTGGTTATTCGCTATCGATACATCGATCGAGCAACGTCTAAAAATTTTCGTCCGAGCGCAACATGACGACGACGATTGACAGTGACGATCGTGAGAAGATTGCGAGAAAGATTGTAAAAACGAGCAAATCGATCCGCAAAAAATATCGTTCTTCAAAAACCGGTCAAATGGAGGAAGACGTCGCATTGGAGAGGCACTTTAAACCAATTATCGAACCTCTAAAACAACTTGTCGAAAATACAATCAATGTGGAATCTAATGAAGCGAAAATCGAACCATCGAGTACGCTCGAAGACAAGCATCCGAAAAAAGAATGGAATTTCATTTCCCCGTCCGCTCCGCATTTCGGCGGGTTGTGGGAGGCCGGCGTCCGTAGCGTAAAAACTCATCTGCGACGCGTGTTAGGAAATCATATGCTAACATACGAAGAATTCTCGACTTTATTATCTAGAATCGAAGCATGTCTTAATTCAAGACCGATAGCGTCCCTCTCCGTTTGAGGACTACGAGTGTCTCACCCCCGGTCACTTTTTGATCGGATCCGCGCTTACTGTAAACCCGGAACCATCCTTGCTCAATATTAACGAGAATCGCTTGTCGAGATGGCAACTCGTCCGACACGTTACTGAACGGTTTTGGAAATTATGGAGTAACGACTATGTCAATACGTTACAACAACGAGCAAAATGGCGAAAGGTAGAACTGCCGATTGAGACCGGGCAACTCGTCCTCCTGCGTAATCCTATGTCACCTCCCTGTAAGTGGGAACTGGGCCGAGTTACGCAATGTCACCCCGGTTCCGACGGCTTCGTCCGGGTCGTCATCGTCAAGACGGCCACCTCGGAATTCAAAAGACCGATCGTAAAATTATGCGTTTTACCTATCAATAGTGAGGCGACGAGCAATTAGGCACCTTCGCACGTTGCGTTTCATTTATTGTAATTCATTAGACTTAAGCACAAAACTGTCAAGAGGCGAGCGTCATTCCGCCAAGGCGGGCGGCTGATTCACGGTGTTAAATCATATCGAAAAAAAGAAAAAAAAAGGTCATTCTTCCTTATATCGTTAATTGTGGCGTGCGTTCTTGTCGTTCAATGCTACTGTCGTATCAATTATTTCGGAACTATCGTTCCAAGGCGGGCGGTATGTTCAAGATTGAAACGTTTAATTTAATCGATAAATTTAAACTGTAAATTCAACCGACAAATCTGAACGGTAAGGATTCGAGCTGGTCGATAGCAATCGATCATAATTTCTCGTATCATAATTTGTCGATATTATCTCGTGTCGTATTCTCGCTCGTGTCGTGTCGCGGTACTCATAGACCATTCGCGCTGCTGTTGTTTGATTCGCTCGTGTCGTATGCGCTTTCGTCATTCTCGTTGTAAATTCTCAACCGACATTCTAGTATACGATCGAGCATCGAACTCAGTGCGAAAGACGCCTCATTGTCTGTATTACTACCTGCTCTATACTTATTGAGTTTGTGATTGTTAAGAGTGTGGAGTCCGAAAGTCGACGCGCGTTAATCGTTCCGCGAATGTCCTCTGCCTCGCGCCAAGCGACATCCGGCGTCCGCGTGCAAGATATCCGTTCTCGCGAGAGCCTCTAGCAAGAAACTCTGCAAGATTTCGGAAACGCGTCAAAGAGAGTAGAAAAAAAGGAGTAAGTGACAGAGAAATTTAGATGGCGTTACTAGCCAACTTACTTATTTCGCGCATGCGCACTCCATTTTGGCCAACACAAAATCGGGAGAGTTGCGCTACTGTATATACTGTGGCAAAACTGATAGCCTGGAATATGTAATTCGATAGGAAGTGCGTTTATCGCACAAATTAACAAACCGCTACCTCTTATAATTTTTGCTGGCATTTGCCACAATCTTTTATTAACGGTGTTGGACCGTCGATGTGTTTGCTGCCACGGCAAATTATAATGTCGCATGCATCGACGATATTAAAAGTCTCGCAGTAAAACAATCTTGGGAAAAATCGGTAACTGCTCGGTGGTAAGCTCGAGAATATCGCTGTTAACCGATAGAACAAGAAACATTTTCGAGACTGAGCGGTTTCGGTTCGGTGCACCTCTATAAATAGGGCCCCGATGACTCATTCTCCAAAAATCTGATTGAGATTCGCTGCACCCAACGCAGATTATCACGCATCCACCGCATGTATCTGCGGTGGATCACGTCAATTTGTGTGTACGAACTAAAATATATTATTAATTAATAAATATCCCACATAATCTCGCACACAAAAACACTGAACACTTTTCGCGTGCTCCGCGCTTTCGTTCAACACAAGCATTTCATTTGTCAAACGCTTTATTTTTGCCGCCGCCGTATATGCAATCTTACGGTAATATCCTCTCCACGAAAATCGAGCAAAGGTCCTTCTTGATCAACAATGCGTATCGTTAAATCAGTAATGCTTCGTGCGACGTTCGGTAGATAAATGATCTGTGCAGGCGTTTCCGATATCTTATATCCAGGCGGCATGCTCGGTGAAATCTCATGTATCGTGTGTACGCGCTTGTCATTGCTGTACGCGCCAGTGGTTACGCTGCATTCTATACGAATAATATTTACGCTAATAATATTTATCGGTACATCCGATTCGTGCCATTTCCGAGGCTGTAATATACGATTCGACAAGAATCCCAAATGACGATGATATAATTAAATACAAAAATATATTACTGGCGACAAATGCGCATAGACGTGGCAATGATACGCGTAATCCATTGTTAAGTAACAAGGGATACAGGTATAAATATATAATAGCGCCATTAATCTTTATTAAAAATATAATAGCGCCATTAATCTTTATTAAAAATATAATAGCGCCTGGAAAAAAAGCTGGAAAAGGTATAAACATACCGCGCGCTATGACGTTAAACGATAATATTTGCAAAGCTGGCCTTATTCTATGCGTCGGCGAAACGAGTCAGTCTGTTATTATTGTTTGTATCAAAATGTCGATTAATAAATTTGGGTTAATTATCGTTGGGAACACCGAACAACTCATACTATCAATGGAATGGATTACTAAGAAATTACGTGCGCGATAACTCTCTGTATCAGACAGCCTCCGGCTTTGACGCGAAGTCACGCAAGATACGACGCGTAGCGCAACCGGAAGATGATACTGATGCCGCAAACAAACAGTACGTGGAAATAAGTGTCAAGTTTTTGGATGACAGACAGGAAGAATTTGAGAAAAAAATAATCACGCTCGAGACGAATATGCAGACGCTACAAATAATGATGGATGAGATGTAGAAAATGCTTCGGTATGCAACTCACGCGCAGACTACATCTAATTCAGCGCAAGAGAAGAAAGATATATAAAGAATATACGTGGAGGAATTATCTCATTATTGCGAATTATGCCTCGATCAAATATGCCGCGAAAGATCTCTGAAAAACAGCTGCTCGTGGAAGAATTGCGGTGGTAAACACGTATCTTGCAACCTGTCGACGCAGTCAATATATTCGTACGGAAAGACGCCCGTACGTGTTAATAAATTGAAATTGTCATTCGATAAATTTTGAAATTCAGATTTTAAAATTTTGAGTTTGTCTTTATTCAAGAATGATGTTGTTCAAAATTGAAACATTAAAATTTCGTTTCTAAATCTCGCCGTTATATTCAAACAATTGCCTCAGAAACCAAAACACGAGCGAGAGCAAAAAGCGTTGCGATCACCCGCTCGGTGCGTGATCGCGTTATTCTATAGTGAAAAACTGTGACAAACAGCAAGTTCTCGAAGGTTTGAAATCGGAAAAACTTGTTATTCACGTCGGCAGAGCGCGAGTTTCCGCGGTCGGTCGATTTAGTCCGCCTACGACAACGATTCGAGCCGATCGAAATTCATCGACTTTTCGCATTCGCATTTCGCAAATTCTCGCACAACCCTTCGCTCAGAACTTCATTCTCGGATGGATAATATCGGGACCTCTCACGTCGCTCGAGAGTAACGATCCCTCTCAGTCGACAATGATTTCCGTTCATTGCAATCACGGAAGCATTTCCGCTCATCACACTATTAGCTCTCCCTCTCTCGAAGAGGAACTTCGTCGCTTTTGGAATATTGAAGAATTCCCACGACAATCAATTCTTACGCCGCAAGAACAACAGTGTGAAGAGCATTTCTGCTCCACGCACTATCGCGAGTCCGACGGCCGGTACATCGTTCGCCTATCGTTCAAAACGAGTCCTCCGATCGATATCGGTAATTCAAGATTTCGCGCCGAAAAAATGGTAAATTCGCTAGTACGGAGATTTCGCGATAAACCCGAGTTAGCGAAAGAATATTCCGATTTTATCTCCGAATATCAACGTCTTGGGCATATGCTGCCAACACCGATGCCTCAAGATGATATCGAACAAACGTTCTATCTCCCGCATCACGGTGTGATCCGGGAAAGCAGCTCAACCACGCGTCTTCGCGTCGTATTCAATGCTTCGAGCGTTACTTCGAACGATACTTCACTCAACGACCATTTACTCGCCGTCCTAAATTACAAACCGATCTCATGTCAGTAATATTACAATGGCGCCGACATAAATACGTGTATTCATCGGACATCGCGAGAATGTATCGTCAAATTCTAGTCGATCCTCTCGATATAAATTATCAGCGGATACTATGGAAAGCAACGCCTTCGGAACCGTTAATCGATTATCAACTTTTAACAGTCACGTACGGAATGTCATGTGCTCCGTTTTTGGCACTTTGCGTCTTAAAACAACTAGTCATTGACGAAGGTCAGCACTTTCCGCTCGCAGTTCCTATCCTGAGAGATAATATTTATGTCGACGACTTACTTTTCGGAGCTGACGATACGACTCGAATTCGGCAAGCGCGCGATCAATTAAACTCTATGTTAAAGCGCGGCGGATTTTTATTACGGAAATACAAATACCGTCACGCGTTACCATAGATGTATCTAGCTGCAACGTTAGGTGCGTATAAGGGTTCCGCGTAGTTTTCCCGCGTCTTTCCAGTAATGAAGTGATAACGCGTGTAGTGTGTCGTATTATAGTGTATAGTATTAAAAAGTTTGTGATAATAGTATTGTGTAAAAACGTAGTGTATAACACAGGAGATGGATCATCCACAACCATCTACATCAAAAGGAGTCGAGGAAACGAAGAGGAAATAAAAAATGACAGTATTCCAGCATTCTTGGTTGAATATAGATATTTTTAAAGATTGGTTAACGCCACATGAAAATAATGAAAAAGCTCTCTGCACGGCTTGTAATAAAGTTCTTTTATGTGGCAAATCAGATTTAATAAAACATTCTAAAACGAAATTGCATGTTGAAAATATTAATAATAGCCGTAATATCACACCATCTGCTTCATTATCTAAGCTTAACTGTAATTTTTAAAATGAGGACCACGTTAAGAAAATTAAAACAGCCGAGATAAAATTAGCTGCTTTTTACGCGGAACATAACATAGCTTTCCAAATAGTAAATCACATGGTCCCTTTATTGAAAGAAACTTGCTCTGATGCACATGTAGTTAACAATCTGAAACTGTCAAGGAAAAAATGTAGACAAATAGTAAAAAATGTTTTAGGAAAACGCGAAATTGATAAACTGATGTATTACACAATTATTAAAATTAGTACCATAAAATGCCACAGATTGTTCCGCAGATAAATTATATTCTGCATTTGAAGAATGTTTCAAAAGTAAAAATATACCGTTAACAAATATTGTAGGAATGGCTTGTGATAACGCTTCTGTGATGATAGGAATTAGAGATTCTTTTGTAACTAGATTGAAAAAAGAAATACCGACCCTTGTTGTATTAAAATGTATATGCCATTCCTCAGCTCTTATTGCGAGTAAAGCTTGTACAAAATTGCCGGATTCTTGTGAAAATATTTTACATGCAGTTGCAACATATTTCTTTGGCAGTGCAAAAAGATCGGCTGAATTGGGCGAATTTCAAAATTTTTTGGGAGTAGAATCACGTAAAATCTTAAAATTATCAGGAACAAGATGGCTTGTTTTGCAGAAATGTGTTATTAGACTTCTCGATATTTGGGAAGTCTTGAAACATTACTTTCACTTAGAAACTATAGAAAGTAAAAATAACTTGACAATAATAATTTTTAATACTTTAAATGATGATAAAATTAAAGCATATATGTTATTTCTTAAATATTCATTGAATTCTTTTAATGATTTTAAAGCCTTTCTCCAAGGTAGAAAAATTTTAATTCATAAATTAGCAGAGAGTAGTGAGCATTTAATAAAGCAGATGGGATACAATTTCTTGCTGGTCGTCTAAAAATAAATAAAAATTAGTAGATACCCTTGCAATAGAATTTTCCAGCGGAAGAATAAATTGATACCGAAAAGATAATAAAATTCCTTCTAACGAAATATCTGACGAATACAACTAAATCAATAATGACGAAAAACTTCTGTAACGAAATATTCAGTAAATACAGCTGCACTAATATTGATAAAAATAATCATAAGGAAGTAAGACTTTTTCTAATCAGATCACGTGCGCAAGGGAAATCTAATGCTCAAGGGACTCTGAACTGATATCGAGATCACCAATCGACGATCACCACGGGAGAAAATTCGAGAAGTAGGAGAAACACCCCGCCTAATGAGGACACTAGCACAATTTTTAATTTGTTAAGATGAAGAATCCCCACTTTTACGGAATTTCAATTCGTTGAAGTTTTGGAAGATTCCCACTCTTAGAAATTAGAATACACCTCGAAAAGAGAGTTATAAAAAGAGGACTCGAAGGGACATACACTTATTTACGTACTTGCTCTCCAGCCTCGACATAGTCTTATAAAGTGCCTTGGCACCGTGGTACGCGAATTAGAATTAATAGTGCTATACCAGTGTCCTCATCCGGCATCATCGTTGGTCAACCGCAACCAGAGCGACCCGCAAGGCACGAAGCCATCTTATAATAAAACCTACACCTTCCATCTACGAGATAAAATGTAAGTCACACTCATCTATTTCATTTATACTATTAACCCTCGCGATAAATAAACGTTATTACATTACATTACATTCACACTGGTTTCGTAGTGAAAACCAGATCCGGTACTACTCATATCCTACCATCCAACCCAATAGTCGTTCGCAGAAGTCGGATGACTCGAGCGCCTGTAATATGCAAATTTTGCGCTACACACCTTAAAAAAACATCACATGTACCAGCCGAACCTACTCTCCCTTCCTCACCAAATTACTCCTCCCCCATCTACTTCCCCGAGTATATCACTCCAGCCACCGAACCTCCGCTTTCCCCACGTCCCTTCTCCTCCCTATCCACAATCCCCCTGAACAATTCACCCCCTTCTTCCCCGCAGTTTTCGGAATCAGACGATTTCGAAAAAGCTATAGAGGAGTTCTGCAACGAACTACCCGATCTAGAGTCCGATTCATCCTACCAGGATTAAATTAAACCGAGATATCTCCCTTCACTCTCTTTCTCCATGATTCCATATTTCCTTTCTCACTCACACACGCATACATGTTTCGTTTGTTTTTTTTTAAATTAATTAAATCTTCATATTGTATTAACCAGTCAGAACCTAAAATTAACGATAAAATCATTCCCTTTTTTATTATACTTGATGTTAAAAAATATTATAATTTTTTTTTATTGTACGTAATATTAAGAAAAATATTATATTTATATGAATTGCATTTATATTTAAGTAAATATGTTCATATTTAAATATAGGTATATAATGTGTAATGTATAAATGTAAAGTATATTGTGTTAATAAGTATATTATGATAAATGTAATAATATTTAAGTTGTCATATGTTTAAGCATTCATATGTTTTATGTATTCATATATTGGGTGGTCTAGGGCACCCTGTATATTTAATGTATTTTATTTCTTTAATAGAAACATTCTTTGCAACATTCTTTGATAGAAACATTCCTTGCAAATTTCTTCATATTGTTTTTCTCGCTAGGGGGGTACCTAACGATACCTCATATTTGATCGAACTATATACATTAGTGAGGATACGTAGCGCTTGCTTAGTGCGCATACGCGACTCTATTCCCACAACAGGGCCGCGTTCGAAAACATCACTCGTGTGCACACGAGCGTCGTTCTATCTTTGTTCAACTTTCAGTAAATAACAAAGATAGAACGACGCTCGATGCACATGGGTGACGTTCTCGAACGCAGCCCAGCGCATCACTGCTTTGCGATGCGATCACTTAACTCATTGTCAATTTAAATTGCAATCCACTCGAATTTATTAATTCGTACTATATATTGAATGTTATGCACAGGAACAATGGCTATTACATTATTAATTTTAATTTTTGTTAACTTTAAAATGAAACATTAAATATAATGAACAATTTAATAATACAATTTTATATTTAATTGGATGTATATATATTACCCACTCGGCATGTAATATTGCTGAAATACTGTAATGTTTGGAAATGGTACAGAAATATTTCATTAATATTTCAATTGTAACTTTGCATCCGAAATATTTCAGAAATGTACCTGCATCATGTTTATTAAAATATTGCATTCAACACTATCTATACCCGTATTCAAATTTTTGTCATGAGTATATATAAAGCCTGCAAAATGCGGTTAATAATATTGTAATTATTTTTATCAGTTTA